AAAATGATTTTCTTACATTTATAAAAATTATAATTAATTAATTGAATGAATAAAATGGTAAATCAAAAGCACATGAAATGAGTGAATGATATATAGAGAGAGAGAGAGAGAGAGAGAGAGACTTATTACACTAACAATTTACTGGTAAACAACGATAATATTTTGCTGAACTGCTATTTTTACCAAATTTTATCGCTTGAAAAACATTAAGAAACTCTTTGTTTGCATTTAAATCCAATTCAAATACCTGTCCGACAAATAGGTGTTGCGATTCCTCAGCCAAACAACACTCAAGACATTGCAAGACTCGTCAGAAACAAGAGATTCTTATTTCGCAAAACTAAGGATAAGATTTGAATGAAATATCAGTAATTCATTTGAGACGACAGTATATTAATAGATAAACACTATAAGAATATTAAGTATTAAGTTTCAATCGATTTGAATTATAGCTATTATATGGAAATACAGTAATTTAAATCCTGGTTTAAAAACTCGTGTCACTCGTGAGTGCAAGTGATTTCAGGTCTAAGGTTTTTTGTGCCATAATTTGCATTTCAATGTCTCAGTTTGTAGTCATTAGAAAAGTATATCACTATTAAATTACATTTGTTATGCAATTGCTTTCAATGGCGTTCACAAATGTTTTCTAGTAATATTGATATATTTCTTATTCATATTATGCTTTGTAACCAAATTTGCTTTAATTAGTAGTCAATGGTTTGCATCAATAATCAAATCATTGAAAGTAAATATTAAACAAAAACATATTCCTTATCTATTGCTTGCATTTTGAATGCCATTATAAACAAAAAAGAAAGAAATAATAACTTATGATATTTTAATTAATAAACATATTTTTCTCAATGAGAGACACTTTATTTAAAAAATAACAATTAGATAAACAATTTATTAATTTTTTCCATTGCATTCGCAATGTATTCTAGAATTTTAAAACTATAAGCCATTCATAACATAAATAAATTCAACAAAATCTAATTGCATTTAAGTTACAATTTTTAAAAATCAGTAATAATTGACTAAATTAAATGAGAATTGCATTTAGAAAACCACATATAAAGTTGAGATGCGATCCAAATATTTTCAATAATTATCTAAAATAAAAACGAAAAATAAAATAAGAAAATATCAATAAATAGATGTAATATAAAATTAAATGAATAAATTGTGTGAATTCGCAAAATCCCAATAAAAAGGACTTCAAAAACATTCAATTGAATGAATAAAATTCAATCAAAAGAAATATTTTCAATGTATTCATTGGGAGTGAAAATAAATCACAACTTTGTATTCGACGGCAGAAAATCACGGACTTGTGTGCTGTTCAAGTCGTGAGGAACTGTTAGCCATCGGTAGTAATGAGAGAGCGATTGTTAAATACAAAACATAAATACAAACCATTCGCTAGTATTATAAATGTTCGGTATTTTGTTTGTCTTTCAATTGTCGGCGTTTCTCAAGAATATTCTTAATGAAGAACTCTCCGGCCTTATAGCTCGAGCGGACGAGTGGACCGCTGGCCGTATACATGAAACCCAATTCATTGCCGTATTCTTCCCATCGCTTAAACTTCTCGGGCGTCACGTATTCAACCACTTTAATGTGCCGTTTGGTCGGTTGCATATACTGTCCTAATGTCACGCAATCGACTCCCGCCGCCCTCAAGTCGTCCATCGTTTTCATCACCTGTGCGTCCGTCTCTCCGAAGCCCAACATAATCGACGTCTTCGTTATGACTGACTCTCCAGTGATTTGTTTGGTTATATGTTTGGCAAACTTTAAGACATCAATGGATTGTTTATAATTAGCTCGTGGGTCGCGAACAAAGCGCTGATACGCCTCAACCGCTTCCACGTTATGGGCGTAAACGTCGAGACCAGATGTGGCCACTGTTTCGATGGCACTCTTGTCGGCCCTGAAGTCGGGCGTCAAACACTCGACACAAATGGCGCCATTCATTAGCTTTAATTGCTTAACAGTTCGCGCGAAATGATTGGCTCCGCCGTCGGGCATGTCATCCCTGTCCACAGAAGTCAACACCACGTAAT